ACATCGCACTCCGGATTCATAGAAGGATCTATAAGTCCTCCCCCTCGCTCATCCCCTCTCACTTAGGAACCACCGTGGCATACATGCACTCTCGGTGAGGAGGAAGAAGGAAGAGAGCCAATAGTTGGAGAACAGGCAAAGGACTGCGACGGAGAGCCCTCTTCCTCCCCCTATTTAAGGAAGAAACGCGATGGCCAAAGAGGGGCAAAAGATCAGAGCGAAAAACCTTCTCCCTTGCCCCATTTAATGCGGATGGGAAATGATGGGACACATCCTGACCGATGGGACACACGCTGACCGACGGAACGATGCTTGATCAGACAGAATGTCGCCTGGTAAGACGAAATGTGGCCTGGGTATGGCCCACCACTATCGCACGACCGGGCACAAAAACTGAAGCGCCACCACACGCAGGCAGCTCTCCGCATCCCCAGGCGGGACTTGGAAAAACCCAAAATAGGATCTCTGCCGGGAGAGACCATCGGGCTTCCTAAGTCGATCGAATGGCTCAGAAGAACACACCGAGAGACAGGTAGGGAGCGAAGGGATGCCCCATGTAGGCCATGCTGACTCTGTCACGAACGATGAGCATGGGTCCTGATCGAACATTTCTGACTGAAGCTCTCCAAAACCCTGTCACTCGAGTCATCAAGGTAACACTACCGACCCCCGCTATTTCTTTATTTAAATCATTTCATACATCCATACGTGCATTCATTCCATACGCCCGTGTCCCCCGGACGATTTGGGCCCTGAAACTCCCGGGGGCTTGGGAACTAAGCATCGCACGTGCAGCGAAATGCATCACAACGCTCCGTGTTGCATCACGAAGCGGCAGTTGCCTCATTCGACATGAGCAACGACAAAGCCAGGGGAGAAAAACACAGATAAGCCCTATGCGGCCCTCGCCCAGTCTTGCAGACAGGGTCATCTCAACCTTCTCGTTCGATCCTAAGCCTCTACCAAGCCCACAGAATCTCCATCGAGGGGAGGCCATTAGGCCACCCGGGTCGGTCTCCAGAACGACCTAGGCATCTACCGGGGTGCAGGTAAAGGAGCAATGGAATGTCACAAGAGGGCTATGTTGACCCCATCATGAACGACGGACCCAGATTCCACTCGATCATACCCGTTAGCGAACTCACCGAGCTTGTCACTTGAGCCCGAGCAATCGGGACAAGCGACAAAACTCAACCCCTCCAAATGTGAGGAACCGAGGATGGGGTAACGCACACAACTCAAACCGACCCATACTAAAGCCCAACGGGGCTCGGGGGCTCAAGACACAAAATGCCTAGGTCTGCGACCCCGAACTCGCCCCATCCGGCTACGCTTCAACTGCACTCCAAAAAATACTTGGGTCTGTGACCCTGAACTCTCCCCATCCGGCTACGCTTCGACTGCACTCCAAAAATACCTAGGTATGCAACCCCAAACTCACCCCATCCAGCTACGCTTTGACTGCACTCCAAAAATACCTAGGTCTACAACCCCGAACTCACCCCATCCAGCTACGCTTCGACTACACTCCAAAAACACTCGGGTCTGCGACCCCAAACTCGCCCCATCAGGATCTATGAGCTTTGGCTCACCCAATCCCAAACTAACTAAACTAACTGCCTCAGTTGTGCGGGCTGCACCGACTCTAGGATCCGCGAGCTCTGTCTCATCCGATCCCTAAAAGACTAACTGCCTCGCCCGATGCCCACGATGCGCATTCGACGCAGGATCCGTGAGCCGTGTCTTACCCGATCCCCAAAAAAACACCTCGGCCGCACAACAACAACTTGGTTAACAACTCTATCTTGACTAAAAAACATGCACACACACCCGCTAAACAAACACCACCCAGACGGTTCCACCGAACTGCCCGAGGGCTCGGGGCTACACCCGCGGGTGCGCTCGCGCACACCCACCGACAAAACGAAAACCTCCCCCACTGGCAACACGGAAAACCCCCAGACGGTTCTACCCGAACCGCCCGGGAGCTCGGGGGCTACACCACCCGGGTGTGCTCACGCACACCCGCCATCAAGACAAAAATCCCCCAGATGATTCTGCCCGAATCACTTGGGGGCTCCTGTCGAGTTCATAAACCCGGGGTCCCTCGCAGACCGGCTTCCTAACAAAGGCTCGGCCCAAGCAGACAAACGCACAACTCGTGGGCTAGCCCAAGTATCTAAACGATAGGCCAGAAGGGCAATCCAAGCACCGATCGGAAGGTCTGGCCGAGGAGAAACGGCACCCGCCTTCCGACTCGGCCCACCTCTCTGACCGGAGCACCCATTTCGGTCTCTAGCCCACCTCCGACGGTCTCTCCAACCGGAAGGCCTAGCAAAGCACTACCTCCGACTCCGACCCCATGTCTCCGACCAGGGTATGCAAAGACCCTGCTCACTGCTCTTCTTCGACTGGCGCGACTAGAGCCGACTAGGACCAACCGACAGGGACGCCCGCCCGGAAAGAACTAGGGAACGAATGGAGAAAGCAAGGCAAGGCGCACAAGTCAAACCATGATACCAGGGACCGTACCCTATACACCTGCAGGAACAGTACTCTGCAACCACCCTGCCATGAACAGTGTTGTAGGCGCCGACATTTTACCTATAGTATTGTGGGCGCCATTAACTCCCATATGGTAAGGCCCCCCACATGCCTTTGGGCATCGACAGTGTTGTCAGTGCCGGAATTTACCGTACCAAGTGAACATGGTGAAACTCCTCACATGCCTCTGGGCATCAACGGTACATGTAGGTACCGACATCTGCCATACCCAAAACAAGACGACATAACCTCCCACATGCATCCGACATCCAATAGTGTTGTGGGCGCCTACCATCATCATGTACCTGCCGGCGTGGGCAACAAGGTTTAGAAGCATACATACTCTCTCCCTCTCACTTATAAGGCCATCCCCTTCATCTATAAAAGGGGATGCGCTCTCTCCCAAGAGACTCAGTGGATTCAAGTTCATACAAGTTATTCTAGATTCATTAGATCGATCAAGTTCACTAGCTCACAACCACAGAACCGCCAGGTTCAGACCTCAAGCACTCGCTTGAACACTTAGCTCATAGTGGAGCCCCTGTCGCTCTCGGCCCTTCCGACCAGAGCCGACCGGACCTCTTGCACACCCCATCTTTCTCCTTCTCGTTTGTAACCCCACTGCAAACTTCGAGCACCTAGGCTCAGGAATAAAGTCACCAACCGACGCAAACTGGACGTAGGGCACGTTGCCTAAACCAGTATAAACCCTGTGTCATTGAGTGCTAAGCCACCTCCAATCACAACGTACGGCAAAACTATAAATATTTACTTGTTGGTCACTTTCTGCACCGACACCGCTGTTATAAATAATAAATATTATACTCTAATGCTGCATGTAAAGTGATGTAAGAAATGATTTAAGAAAGTTGTAAGCTTTATTCTCTCATTTGTGATCTTGATGGAAAAATGTGGATTTTCGGGTTCTCCCTTGGGGTGTGCTCGACAGAACCGCGTAATTTGGTGTTTCTCCTTTAGTACTTAGTGTCTAATGGAAGATAAGTACTCCTGGGAGGTATTAGATTATGTGGTTCTGCCACACACACCAGGGTGGGGGAGAGCAGCCCACTCCCCTACAACACCGCCGCTCCAAGTCCATGGATCTCGCTCGTGCTCCATGGATCTCGCTGGGGTAGGGGAGAGGGCCACTAGATCCACGGGCATTGAGCACTCCCAGTGGGTGAGGATGCCGGTGTGGGGGCAGGGGCGCCGCCAGGGTACGGGAGGAGGACGTCGGGGTAGGGGAGGAGGGTGCCAGGGTACGGGAGGAGGATGTCGGGGTGGGGGAGCGCGCACGCCGGGGTGGGTGGGGGTGCCGCCACCATCCATGGAGGCAGCCATGGCTGCGTCGGGGTGGAGCAGGGCGCGAGCACAGAAGAGATAAGAATTGGGAGGAGGAAGCGAGGACGACCGTGCAGGAGTGAACGGTGGGAGGCCGTCTGAATGGGATTATTTTGTTTGGGGTCCACTCCTAGGGAGCCGTGTCTAGAAACAGAGTCATAGAAGGAATTCCTGATAGGAGCATTATCGTTTATATAAGGTTGCAGTGTTTCACACTAATTTGACGTGTGTATTCTGGGTTAGTCCGTCCATTGCTGTAGGAGAGGAAGTATTTTCAGAGAACGACGGTTCTTTTTCAAAGGCGGGCAGCCTAATCGCCCTCCATCAAAATTAATAGGCTATTTGCAGAGGTGATTCTTTTCTATAGGCCCTCCTCTGTCAATGTTAATAGACCATTTTTTTGTTGATATGCAATGTTAATAAGCCATTTGTAGGACCATCTCTATTAATTCGGTGAATAGAGACGTGCATCTTAAAATGTTAAAACCCATCTTTGTAAATGAATTACGAAAGAAACAATTTTGCACTTCCAACAATCAGACATTATCTTTGAACTCATGTGTTCCACCCCATACTACACTATACACTGATTTGTTCATATTAGCTTTTAAAATTATTTTATTAAATATTTCAGCCCTGAATGATTCCAAATGAAAAAAGTTTCAACTATAAAGTTTTAGAATTTGTCAAGCTTTATAATTTGGTATATATGGGGCGTGTGTCCGTCAGAGTTCAAAAAATTTGAAAATTTGAATCTCAAAATCTGATAATTTTGAAACAAATATCTACGACTTTAAATATTTTCATATCAAAACTTGTCAACTACAAAGTTGCAAAATGCATTTATAGCTACAACTTTGTTATAGATTATGTCAACATCCAAAGTGATATAACATGACTATCGAATCAACTTTCGTTTCGCATTTTAGTTGATCGTTTCGAGTTATAGAAATTGATCTACACACTTTATCATATGCATTAACACATAAACATGATGCTCATAATATGTTTTAGTTAATGATTTATGGTGTAACACCGAGGGTGTTACATATCAATACATGATGTCTATTCTAGCTATGATGCTTTTTACATACATACTTGGCAAAAAAGCCTCTCTACCGAGGATACCTTGCAGACATCAAGATTTCTTCTTCCATGCTATATCTTCTGCTCCACTCTTGCGTGCTTCGTCTTTCCATTTTCGATGAGCAATTCATCATAACAATGTCATTCTCTTCATTTGTCCCTACATTCATATCAGTTTGGACATACTTCTTGGATACAAGACCTTCGAGTGCATGTTCCACCTGTCGCATTGTGGGCCGGTCCTCGGCATTTAACTTTATACATGATGCTGCAAGTATGGAGACCTCATGTACTTCTTTGCCTCCCTCATGAATGACTTGAGGATCTAGTATTTCGGCCAGATTTTCTGTAGCAAGCAAGTTGACAAAATGGGAAACAAGGCCATCTCCATCATGGAAAAAATACGAAAATGGTTTCTTCCTTGTTAGTAGTTCCACAAGAATGACACCAAAGCTATACACATCACTTTTCTCTGTAAGGCGTCCTGTGTAGAAGTACATAGGGTCCAAGTATCCAATTGTTCCTTGCACCATTGTTGTTAGTCCTGTTTTATCCATTGGAATGTATCTTGAAGCTCCGAAGTCGGACACCTTGGATGTCATAGTTTCTTCCAAAAGTATGTTACTAGACTTGATATCTCTATGGATAATTGGAATTGAAACTGATGAATGAAGATAGGCAAGAGCACTTGCAGTTTCAGTTGCAATCCTCAACCTAGTGACCCAAGAAAGGGACTTTGGCCCTTCAACATGGAGATGGTCATAGAGCGTTCCATTTGAAATAAATTCGTAAACCAACAATGGAACCTTCGTCTCTAGGCAACATCCAAGAAGTTTCACTACGTTCCTGTGATTAATTTGTGAGAGGATGGCCACCTCATTTATGAACTCATCTATCTCCTTCTGAACAGCTACCTTTGACTTCTTGATGGCAACAACGTGTAGATCCGATAAAATACCTTTGTAGACAGTACCATGCCCTCCACCACCAAGCTCACGAGCTTTATCAAAGTTATTTGTTGCCTTTGCAAGTTCATCTACAGGTATGATCATCCTTTCTGCAATGTCTGCCCTTGGGGATACCAATTGTTGCAACAGTTGTCCACGATTTTGCTTGAAAAACTTTTGCTTCAACATTATTTGCCTCTTATGTTTAATCCTTTGGGTCACGAAGATTCCAGCGAGAACCAGAAGCATAAATCCTGCTGCACTGCCAACTCCTATACCGATGCTTATTCCTGTATGTGTGTAGGGTATTAGTAATATTACTCGCTCGATCGATAACAAGAACTTGAAGTCATGGCATCCAATATTTGGACTACAAGGCTTTCTATCTTAGAAGGAAATTAAATTAAATTAAAACACCAAGTGCAACCATGACTATTTAAGGGACATATACAATCTTATCGCTGCTCTAAAAGTCTTATACTCTTATTTAACCTCAAAGTATTTGCATATTTTTTTCCTAACATCTTTAGATTCTACTCTCTCTGTTCCAAAAAAAATTATATTTTAGAATTCAAAATTTGTTCCAAAACAATTTATGTTTTAGCTCTTGGGACTACGTTAGTTGGGCCATATCAGCTTCAGATTGTGGTCTCCATGGCTCCGTGCATTTCTTTTAGTGAGCAGCTTATTCCTTAATTAGCATGTATTACCTTTAATAAGTAGGGGTACATATGCATAATTTGAGCACTAATCTATCCTAAAATCCTAAAACGTAATGTGTTTTGGGATGGAGTGAGCATATTGTAATACTTGAGTGCCAGTGTGCACTGTGCAGCGAGAATTAAAACCTTATCCACCTCATCTAAGCTCAAATAACAAAGAAGCTTGATCAATAGTTGTAACCTCAAAAAGTTAGAAATGTAACCAGAACATATTTTGCATTATGGTACAAGACTACGACCTTGCGTGGGTCATTCAGCCAGTTGATACAAGAGTTGAATCAAAATGTAATTTCCGTGACAACGTGTCTTGAAATATATGGAATAATATGATGCAACAGAAAAAATCTTGTAGACCACAAGTTCGAAAGGCAATTACATCTTGGAGAACTGTATACCTTTAGTCTGTGCTCTTGGAGTCTAGCCAAAAGAAGAAAAAGATCTATGTTTATCTTTAAAAAGTCCAAGTTACTCCATCAAAATATGGCCTATGTCTGTGTAACCCTAAACTAATATTTGATTCGATTTACTTGCTCAACTATTCTAGAGACAGTTCAATTTACCCATTAACAAGACTTAATTTTTTTATTTCTCCACATCCAAGTTGAGTTATAATTCTAAAATTTGTGAGGTGATAGAAAACATCATACCACATTTTTTAAAATACATTATGAACTTTTCATCGGTATGTTTCATACAATTTTATATTTCTATTGTCAAACTTTCAATTATTATTAGATGTCTTCACCTATCAAAATAATGATAAACAGCTATGATGTATTTTGTTTACAAAAATTATGGTGCCACCTATCATCTCATAAAATTTAAAATTTAAAATTAGCTTGAACATGGAGAAGCAAAAAGCCCAAATCCTATTAAAGGGTAAACTAGACCAAATGAAATAGTTTGAGGGAGTAAATCAAACCAAATGTTAGTTTAGGGTTATCTGAACATAGGTCAAACTAGGGTAGTAATGTACACGTTTTTTCTTATGACTATTATATTTCTTTGATGAAATTATCATTATTATATTATTTGTAGAATGAAAACATTTCAAACACTTTATTAGTAATAAACATTTCAAACACTATTATATTATTATGTAAATATGTATTGTGGCATTTTCCTACTGTATTCCTAAATAAAAATAACAAATACATAAGAACATCCCCAAAGCTACTTAAAAACACTTGTCAAATCATAGATTATACCAAGTGCCCAAATTTAATAGGGAACTATTTTTTTTCCTTTCTCTACCACCTCCAATCAGCCCACCGCCCAGCCGTCCACCCACCGCTGCTGCTGCCTAGCTAGCTAGCCGTAGAAGCCTCCTAGCTGTCTGGGCGGACGAGCATGGCAGAGTGCCGGCAACTATGGACAGAGGCGGCATCTAGAGGTACCCCGGCTAGGGCACAATAATAAACTAGGTGAGAGGAGGGCTGGGAGGCATGAGGAGAGACTTATCGACCACTTATTTAGGGAGTTGAGATACAAAACTGTTGGACGGTCGTTTTTTTCTGTTTGCAAAAAATGCTCGCCCATTGAAAACAAATATGTATGGAAGGCAATCCATCACTAAACCCGGTCAAAGTAGTTAAGGAAGAGCATATGGGGTACTAATGTACCAATAGGTGGTACCAATGAAGTTAAAAGAAGATGAAACGTAGTAACCTGTAGTTGAGGACTTGATGCAGCCATCGCTCACGGTGTAGTTGCCATGGGTTCCTCGAGGGCACTGGCATTTGTAACCTCCAATTGTGTTGATACACTCGCCGAAGCACCCATGGTCTTGTGGCCGCTCACATTCATTGATATCTATGATTAACATAATTTGATTATTCCAACGTTAGTACATAACACATACATTTTCATGGAAACAAATGCCGTCTACTCCAAATATATGTCTTCTTAAATAGGCATTCACACGCTACAACAAATTCAAGTCATTTGCACAATATCAGAAATGATTTTTTTATTTTACTTTCTAGTTTTTTCTTGCATGATAAGTAAATTCACTAATTTTATATCCATTTTTTTCCTAATAAATGTAACATCTCTCTAATAATTTGATTATTAGCAGAATACATTTGATTTGTAACATGGTCATTTCCTATAGCCTCTTAGAGCATCTACAACAGTATCTAAAAAAAATTACTCCCAAAAACAGGTTTTCCAACCTTTGCAAAATATATTGGGAGACACAAAAAAAAAGCTACAACTTCAACAGTTTCCAAAATCTTGCGCCTAAAAGATAGAAGGGAATTTTACATCAGGGATCCTAAACTATTTCTAAATCACACTAACCACTTTTTTACGTTATTTCTCTATTGTACATTTGCATCAGGAACTGTGTCCTACTTTTTTTTCTTCCCTACGTCCTTCCACCTCCAGATTGGCGCGACGATACGTGCGTAACTTTACGCGCGTGGAGATGGTTTTTTTCCAAGTGCCAAAAGATTGGGAGATGGGTTTGAGAGTTATTGGAGATGAGTTTTTTTCAATCTTGCCAAAATTCCTAGATTGGGAGGCTATTTTAGTTATTCTTGGAGTTGCTCTTACTATTTTATAATAATTTATTATATTTGGTAAAAAAAATTGGTGGTTCGTTTTTTTGCCTCTCCACCCACATATGCATACATAGCCAGATCAGTGTCTAGCCTCATTTGATTCCTATAGGAAAAAACAATGCTGATTGATCAATTTAACAATATAAATTGCACTCATTTATTTTAACTTCCATTTTGGAGGAGAAAAACTGATTCTAGATTACAGCTTAGCAAAATTGATTTGCATCGCAGACTGAATTTTGAGAACATGTGCAGACTAAAAATTGATATAGGGCATGTTTGGAACACAGGAACGCAAAACAAAGGAATGGAAAAAAATGCAGAAATGGAATAGAGCGAAAAGTAGAAAACTACATGATTTGAAAACACATGAATAGAAACTTTGGGAAAACATAGGAATAGAAACTTTGGGCTGTTTGGATTGCAGGAAAACAGAAATGTCACATGTGCCCAAGAAGCAAGGTTTCAGGCTTCAGAACTTGACAAAAACATTGCGGAAAATTTTCCTTTGGGTTTCCTTGGATGCTTTTTTCCTGTTTTTTGTGAAACAAAGTTAGCCTTTCCTTTGGAAAGGAATGCAGATTTCCTTTGTTCCAAATAGCAAGTCGAGAAATATATGTTTTCTTAGAAATCCACACGCTACAACAAATTCAAGTCATTTGCACAATATCAGAAGTGATTTGGTTTATTTTACTTTCTTGTCCCTTACATGATAAGTGAAGTCACTAATTTTATATCCATTTTTTATTTCCTAATAAACGTAAACATCTCTCAAAAATCTGATTATTTGCATAATACACTTGATTTTGTAGCATTGTCATTTCCTATAGCCTCTTACTATATATTTTATAACAATTTATATTTGGTAAAAAAAAATTGGTGGTTCGTTTGCCTCGCCACCCACATGCATAGATAGCCAGATTAGTGTCTGGGCTCATCTGATTCCTATAGCGAAAAAACAATACTCACATTGGTCAACTTAACAATATAAATTGTAGTTGTTTCTTTGAACTTCCATTTTGGAAGGGAAAAACTGACTCTAGATTGCAGCTTGGCAAAATTGATTTGCAGACTGAATTTTGATGTGGACGTATATAATAAATTACTCACTCTCTATTTTAACTTTGACATTTTCCTCAGCACACCAACTATTTTTAACTGTTTGGACACCATCCGAGTCTAAAACTTCACCCCTTTTATGCCTCTACCATCAGATCAATTTTTTAAAAAAAAATGCACATCATGTATTTATTATGAAGAAAGGAAGTCTAATGTAAATGAGCATGTGACCACAATACAAAAGAATCACCAAACAAAGCAGAAAAGCTTGGTAGCCTGGCATAAAACAAGAAAAAACTCTAAGGATAAAAACCGAAAGTAGTAGATCAAAAGAGCCCTAGGCACCAGAAGAGCACCACATGCATCTTGGAAGTAGCCCGAGCCCATGTAGATGCCTCCTCCACGATTGAAAGGGTACGGTAACCAACTCCTGGGTGGAGCATAAAACACCGAGATGTTTGGCTCCTTATAGAGGCTCCAAACGACCAACACAACCATGGTATCAGAAGCCTTTGTAAAGGATTTGCCCTCACACCTACGTCCATCAACTCACCAAACTATGATGGGGAAATATGTGGTATAGCTGGCACGATGAGCTGCATAAGCTGAAGAGACCTAGGGAGAGAAACAAATCTCCGTTCTATATATGGAGTCAATGAGTAGGCAGTCAAATATATAGTCTACGACTTTTGTGCACAGAGGGCTTGATATCATCTTGGAGGTCATGTCTCTACATCTCGTTGTTCGATGTCCAAGGATGATGAAAAAATCTAGCTAGACAAAAACAATCACTTGTTGGGTCCATGTTTTCCAAATATTCTAGCCCCTTAACCTGTATTTTACAAAGGAAGAAAGCTTTGTATAGTAGGATGAATAAAAGGCAAATTTTCCATCAAACGACCAC